CCGCCACGCGGGACCTCGCGCAAGTGAGGCGAGCGGAGAGGCGACGTTCTGATCTTCCGTTCGGGAGTGAGGACGTAGCACTCATTGAGCCCGAGCCCTACTATGACAGCGAGACGTTTTGGTGGAAGATTGAACAGTACCAGACCACGAATGAGAGATCAACCGTGCCAGGAAAAGCCTTCTACTGTGAGCAATGCCGACTGGGTGCGCCTTCAAGGAACAATGGAGACAATACCCCGAAGTGGTGTCCTGGGATGACTGGAAACGGCTGGAGCAGAATTGCGCCGCATGCGCGGTACACCTCTACCAGACCTACTTCATTGACGTGGGGACCGGTGAGGCAATTTGCGACCCAGCCAGCAACATCAAGAACTTCATCCAGCACTGCGCAACCACAAGTCGGTCCAATCTGGCGAAAACTGTTTCGTCTCTGGGTGCCCTACAGCCTACGGGTTCCGGTGAACATGGCTATTGAGTATTGTCAACAAGGGCGAGCAAGACACCTCGGATGGGGACGCGCTCTCTCTTACAATGGTCACGTTTGCTATGTCGCCTATTACGACCCCGGGAATGCCGCCTATGCAGGGTTCATGAACTGCTTGTTCACCCGCGAAGAGATCACTGAAATGTGTCGGGGGTCTCCTGATCCCAGTGAAGAACTCTTGGGCGACATCATCGAGATTGCGACCGGGCTGCTCGTTGTGGCGCTCAGATTTCCCGGTATGTTTCCCAAGTGGGGGGGCAAGCATGTCATTGAAGCCTGCCTTTTCATCGATACGCGGCTGTGGAATCAATCACATTGTTCCCCACCCAGAATCGGAAGAGGAGACGGCCAGCGGACATCACTCCGGAGGAACAACAAGGCATTGAGGAAATCACACCACTCATCTCGTTCAACTTCTTCGCTGACCCTGCGGACAGAGCAGACGAGGATGGTGAGGCCGTGCAAACTCAGATACCACAACCCGTTGAGGAACCCGAATACCATGCAGCACCCGAAGAGGATCCCGCGGTTTCCATTGCTACGGGGGAGGAGCCAGAGGAGGAAGAAGTAGAGCAGGCTGATCCTCTGGGAGGACTCGATGATGCTCAATC